GCTGGAACTCCATCTGGAACTCAGGACCTACCAGCTCTCTCATAGCTTATTTCATTCAAGGAAATACTTGAGCCACAGCTCCAGTTCTAGCTTTTTGGGGATTAAATAGAGATAAGAGTCTCACAGACATTCCTACATGGAGGGGCTTCCAACCACAATTCTCAGACCTCTGCCTTGTAAGTAGCAAGGATTACTAGTTAAGCCACCAGTACCCAACTGAAAGGCTTTTATGTAAGAAAGAATTTAGAGTGCCCACCTTGGATTAACTGATATCTTTTCAGGAAGCAAATCTCATTAGATTTCAAATAGCGATAGGGAAATAATATTAGGATGGCTTTTTCTTTTGTCTTTTTTACACTAAAATGCTCACATTAATGAATACTACATAAGGAATTCAACATATAATAAGTCTAAGACCCTCACTGTCTTCCTACAACAATATTAGACAGAGGTGCCCATGGATAAACTAAAGAGAAAATTGACCAAAGATGAGGAAATCTAATGGGAAATGCTGTCACACATTTCTAGTGAATAAATTGCACAATTCAAAAATTATTTTGGAAACAAAGTATGACTGAAAGGCCTGAAAAAAAGAACAGGCTGTGAGGAGGTAGAATAGGGATGTATGTTTGTTTGAAATTGATCACAGAAGTTCATTCAGCTGGTGAACAGGGTGCAGGGACAGAAGCAATCAACTAGGTATATGACCTTCTATGCTTGAGATTTTAAAACAAGGTGTCATGGACTTAATATTGTGAAAGAAATGAATCCAGGAAATGATTGAGTTTTATATTGAGACGTAAAGGAGACATAAAATGAGAATAGGATCAAAATAGAAGACTCCAGGATTAAAGGAAGGGAAAAGAAGTGGAATTGATCTATCCGGAAGCACTAGACTCACCAGCACCGATGGCTCCTGCCTGTAATCCTAGCTACTCAGAAAGCTAAGGTCTGAGGATTGCAATTCTAAGGCGCCCAACCTGTGAAAAAGTCCATGAAACTCATATCTTCAATTAACCAACAAAATAAAAGCAAGTGTATGACTCAAGCAGTAGAGCACTAGCCTTCAACAAAAGGAAAAAAAAAGGAAAGAACTGAAAAGAAAAGAAAAAGCAGCTCAGGAATACCACCTAGGCTAAGAGATCAACACTAAGGAATAGCATTCACACACACACACACACACACACACACACACACACACACACACACACACACACACACACACACACACAACTACATCTATCTCTAAAGAGTAAAGACTAACTTCATGGCATCAGCCATTTGAACATGAGAAATATTCAGATACCTGTAATACAAGATCTCCTAACAATGTCTCTCAGACAGCCTTACCATATTTTGCTACAATTATCTCCTTCAATAAATGATCCAGAAGCCAAAGCACCTGAAAGATTTCCTGGTCCCTGCAAACCCTACCAGGGCTCAATGGAGAAATGCTCCCTCTCACACAGGGAGGAAGGATGCCAGTTCAGGGCTGTGGGAGAAGGCAGCTGTGCACACAGCAAGGCTCACTGACCCATGACATGGACAGGAGGTTTGTGATTGAGGCTGAAGCACTGTGAAAGGGAAGTTATAATTCTGTTGGCAGTAATAATCTGCCACATCTTCAGCCTGCATGCTGCTGATAGTGAGATGTAGTCTGCCCCAGATCCACTGTTAATGGATTCCAGGTGGCTGAGTGGATGCCAATACATGAACAGCTTAAGAGCTTCTCCCCATTTCTGCTGATACCAAGGCATGTCCTTCTCATTATCCTTGCTCCATAACAGACTCTGACTGGGCTTGCAGATGATGGTAACCCTCTCTCCTGAAGACACAGCCCAGGACCTTAGAGACTGAGTATCCACAATGTTACTACAAGCACCAGCATTCAGAAAGCCACAGTGATCATACCTATGTACACACAGACTTTATAACATGAATATAAATATTGAAATTCTTCATCAAAATCAACACTGTAGTATCATGTCAGTATATTTATCTCTACACAGATATTAATCTATAAATGGGAATGCAGTAGAACTTTTATGGCAACATTTTCATGTATCTCTCCAAACATCCAAAGTAGCAGGAGCACAAGGACTTGGATCTGTGCCACCATCTAGCTGTCCCTGTCCACCTGATGCAGCTCAGTTCCCAATTCAAAGCACTCATTTATCAAAGCTGAGAAGCAGCCTGGAGGGGCCTAGGCAAAGCAATCAGCATAGGAGGAAGCAATTCACCTGAGCAGTGGATGGTGAAATCATCTGATGTAAATCAACAGCCAAAAACAGCAGCAACTGAAGTGTAACTGTGCAACTAGAAAAGACAGTAAGTTCAACTTAGAAGCTCTAATATGATTCTTAAGGACCTAAACTACAAACCACTAGATGGCGCAGTATTAAAGCTTCAGTTTTAATTGTAAATATTGACTGAAATGTCCATGATACTCCATCTCCAAAAATACCACCATAACGCAGGACCAGAGGAGTCTCAAGTCTGAATCCCTGACTTCAAATCAAGTATTGCCTAAAGGGGAAAGGGAGGAAGGGATTTTTTTTTTTTTTTTTGGTGGAGGGTCCGGTTGTGGGCCCTGAACTCTGGGCCCTGTCCCTCAGCTCTTCAGCTCGAGGCTATTGCTCTACCACTTGAGCCACAGCGCCACTTCCAGCTTTTTTCTTTTTACTTATGTGGTGCTGAGGAATTGAACCCAGGGCCTCAGGCTTGCAAGGCAAGTGCTCTACCACTGAGTCACCTTCCCAGCCCCAAGGTAGGAAGGGATTTTTTTGTTTGTTTTGATTGTAAAGATACTGTACATAGGAAGTGGTCCTGTGGCTCAATTGGTAGAGTGCTTGCCTTGAGTTGAGGAGCTGAAGGACAGCGCCCAGGCCCAGAGTTCAAGCCCCAAGTCCGACAAAAACAAAAAAATGATACTGTAACGAGCGGTTACAGTTGAGTACATTTCTTATTTATCATTGTTACCCTCCTTTGCTTTTCTCCTACCATCCCTTCCCTGCCCCCCCCTCAAAGTTGTAAAGTTCATTTTCAACATACTGTCTTGTACTCATTGTCACAATGGGTCAACCTGTGTCCTTGTTTCAGCATTTTGTTATCCCCCTTCCCCTCCCCAAAATGGATAAATGTATATACAAGATCCAGGATACCAAAATCAAATATAATGACAACTGGGCTTATACAAACATATAAAAATAAACCCAAAAATTCACATAGTACTTTAAAAACAAAAACGAAGATAAAACCTCTTGTGTCCATATCTTGGAGTTCATTTTGCTTAACATCATTTTATATGGTCATATTACATAGCTTTTGACCTTTTCTGCTTGTCTAGTAAGATTATCCTAGACTTATAGTAGTTATTGCAAAAAAAAGGAAACCATGGGACTTACGTTTCTTTGTGTCTGGCTTACTTCATTTAATATAATTTTCCCAAGACTTTCCATTGCCTAACAAATGGGGTGGTGTCATTCTTTCTGATGGTGGCAAAGAATTGCATTATATACATATATACATATAAATATATATGCATTTTCTTGATCCATTCATCTACTGAGGGGCATCTGGTTTGGTTCCATATCTTTGCTATGGTGAATAATTCTACAATAAATATAGTTGTGGTGCTGGGAGGGAGGTTTTCATAAATCTGACATAATTGGAAATACGTATGACAGAATGTGCACAGAACAGAATGTAGTTAACAGGAACTTTGTATTCAGTATTGAAAGTAAAATTTCCAACCTTTACATTTGTTTTAAACTGGGCAAGTAACTCTTTATCTGAAACAGAAATTCTTGTATTCCTCCCTGCCAAGATCTCTCCACATGAGCATCACAGAGTTTAACTTGCTAGGTCCAAGGAATAGGTCTTGCTAAGCTTTCTTTCTAACAGCTTTGTCCATTTGGAAACTACCAGTGTACAGAAAGAATGGCATTGCCCTATTTGTTAGGAAATGGTAAAACTTGGAAAAAATTATATTAAGTGCAGTAAGCCAGGCACAAAGAAACATAGGTCTCATGGTTTCCCTTATTTAAATAACTAGTAAATATCTTAGACAAGCATAAAAGGTCAGATAAGGTGATGGATGTTAAGCGAAATGAACCCCAAGGTAAGGACACAAGTGGTTTTTTATATCTTTCTATTGTTTCCAACGTATTTATAAGGTACTGTGTGATGTTTTTGTTGCTTTGTAGGTCCCTCCCCCAACGGTATAGCCCTTGTTTTCACTATATTTGATGTTGTTATAATTTGGGGAGCAAAAGGGAAAAAACAAATTGTTTAAGTAGGAATGCAAGTTGACCCATTACAACAATGAGATGTAGAAGATGCTATGTCAAAAAATGAACTCTAAAATGTAGGTGGGGGTATGGAGGATGGGGGCTGGCGGGAGCAAATGTAGTTGTGGAGATGAGGGAAGGGATGGTAGGGGAAAAACAAAGGAGGAAGCAACAATGCTTGATAAGAAATGTACTCACTGCCTTGCTCATGTGATTGTAACAACTCTGTACAGTATTTTCACAATAAAAAAAACATGAAAAAAAAGAAACTATCGGCATAGCTCAAGTCTCTGCTGTCAATGGTAGAAAACTGAAAGGCCATACCTGGGAGGGCCAAGTTGTTTATCATCTTAGCTGGGAAGGAGCCAATAGGTAACTGTTCCCCTCCAAGAGATGAATTCCCACACCTCTACTGCACTGGATCTCCTTGCTGTCTTAGAGAGGTAGGTCCAAATGCACCTCACCTCCCACTTCTGCAACAATACATCCACAATGTTCACATGGCCTCCTGCTGCCCACTGAGGAAAACAGCAAGGAATTTGTACTTGCTTCCGTCCAATACAGAAATCATTTGACACAACTAAGATGCCTCCTTCCATGTCCTTTAAGTCTTGCCACATTGCTGCACCCAACATACAATTTGCATAGTGCTCCCTAGGGAGGAGCCTCCTTGCTAAATTTAACTTCTCACCCTGAGTTCTGATCAGGACTCCTCATTTCAGTCTCTCAAGATGAGATGCCCTGCTCAGTTCCTGGGACTGCTGCTGCTCTGGATCCCTGGTAAGGACACAGAGAGATAAAGGAAATGAGGAAAGAGATGGGGTGTGAGGGTGAGGCCAAGGGGGAATTACTGTTGCTGTTGAGTGTTCTGTCCACATGTGAGATGTGTGGATTTCACACTTCAGGATGGCAGATGCACTTTAGATCTGTGAAGGGGGGAAGATTCCAGAGTATCTAGACCTAGATGCTGCTAAAAATAGAGTGAAATGGTACCGACAAGGCCCTTTGGGTGAAAATCTTACCTCCTGTCTTAAAAATGAATATTTAAATTGTAAATCAAAATTCCAACAGTATTCTAGCCTATAATGTGTAATAGAGGAACAATATGAAACCTGCTTAAAAATTGTATACATGACCTAACACTTGTCTGTCATGTTTTAGCATCTTGTGGAGACATTGTGATGACACAGACTCCACCCTTGCTGTCCATCAACCCTGAAGAGCCAGCCTCCATCTCCTGCAAGACCAGTGAAAGTCCCCTGTATAGTGATGGAAACACATATTTGAATTGGTACCTGCAGAAGCCAGGCCAGTCTCCACAACTCCTGATCTATACAGTTTCCAACCGATTTACTGGGGTTCCAGACAGGATCAGTGGCAGTGGGTCAGGCACAGATTTCACACTGACAATCAGCAGGGTGAAGCCTGAGGATGCAGGGGTTTATTACTGCCAACAGGGTTCAAAATACCCTCACACTTTGCTACAGCCCAGAGCAAAAACCTCCCTACATGGGGCAGGCCAGCTGTGCCTATGTGCTGCTTGCCTGGGGACCAGCAGGGCAGATTCTCTGAGTCTGTGTGCAAGGACAAGGTTGGGGAACTCAGAGCCACAAACTGCAGCTGAGGTCTCTGTCCCATGGGGGCCTCAGCTACACTCAACGAAACCCATTATTGGTGAGCTGCAACAGATTACCCCAAACCATTTGTGGCAAAAGTGTACAGATTCCACAAGTCACTTCTGAGTAAGTAGACAGGACTAAGTGAAGAAAATTTGCAGACAGTTTGAAGACCTGTTTTCTTGGGAAGATTTTCCCACAGACAAAGGAACATGTGACTTCTACAAAAGACTTGGTGTCTTGCCAATGCTTTTCTTTTTGAGATAGAAACTAAATCAGAAACACACAAAACTTATTTCACTTTTAAAAGTTAATACAAGGAAATTCATGAAAATGACATGTTGTTTTCACTTCCATTCTCATTATTTCAGGATCTAGAGGGATATGATGCTGCAGAATCAGTCTTCTATGCATCACCCCTAAAGAGCTGGCCTGCATCTCAAGAAAAATCAGAAAGGCTTCTCATAGTGCCTCACACCTCTAATACCTGCTACTCAGGAGGCTGAGATTAAGAGGACTGCAGTTAACGCCCAACCCAGGGAAAGGGTTAGCAAGATGTCATCTGAGCAAACAAACTGGCTGGATGGCACACACATTTGTTGTTCCAGCTATGCAGGAAGTTGTAGGTAGAAGGCTCTTTGCCAGATCTGATATAAAATGAAAGGCTTTACCTAAAAAATAGCTAAAGCAAAAAATGACTAGGGGTAGCTCGGCTCAAGTGGTAGAGTGTCTAACAAAAACAGGAGGCCCTGAGATCAAACCCAGCACCCAGGAATAAAAGACAAAACTAATGAAGACATCCTCATTGTTGGTGCCTGACATCATTGCACATTCCATGGGAAGTGGTGCCTACCATGAATGCCTCTGAAACGTTGCTAATTCAATGATGACTAAAGATCCTACCCATGGGTAGGATCCAATCACATGTTACCAATCCATTATCAGCGCATAAGCCAGTTGGTCAAAGGTGTCTGTGCCCTCATTCTATACTGTGGATGACCTAGGACAGAATGGCATTCAAGGCAGACCTTAGAGCTCTGTTGGCTAGGAGGACCACAGAAGGCAGCACTGGGGTGGGAAGCTCAGCAGTGAGCAAAATACAGAGCAGGGAGGGCACCCAAGGCTTGGGACTCATGCTCATAAAAATGGCATCAGTGCCTTTTTATATGTAAAGGATCCAAGACAATGGAGAAAAAAGAAAATGGAACTGAAAATATACTTTTTACCAAAAAAATGAACTAAAACTTACAGTTGGTTTACACTATTATATAAAATAAACACTGTGGAAAGTGGTGCTGATGGAAATATTATGTTTTCTCGCTTGGAAAGGAAAATATGTAGACATGTATGCTGCCATGTGTAAATGAATAGATGCATGTAAACTAACACCAGCTGCACAGACAACATGGAGAATATCTTAAAGGGTTTAAGATGTGAATGTGGCCAAATGGGGTTACTTGAGCTTTTGGCCATGGAGTATAGGAGACTCATGAGTTCAACACAGCCAGGCAGAGAGTTCATTCTCATCAACAATGTAGAAGGGTATATCTTCCTCAAATCCCTACCTGCACCTGCTGTGACTGGTGTTCTGGATGGTGGCTATGCTGAGTACTTGAGTATAGCCATGGTGCCTGGGGCACAGAGCATCAGCAGCAGCTTGCTCCGAGTTCTCCAACTTTGTCCTCACACACAAGCTCAGACAATCTCCCTGCTGGTCCCCAACAAGCCATATATGGGAACAGCTTAATATGGGGCCAGGGTGAGAAATTTGATCCAAAACATTCACTCTGGACCTAAACTCCTTCTTCTTCTTCTCCCGCCTCCTCACTATGATTGACAATGTGTCCAGAGGCCTCCTCTACCAGAGTCCATTTTCTTTTTATTTTTAATTGTGAAAATACCATACAGAGGGGTTACAATTACATGAGCCAATGCCGATGTGAAAAGAAAGGAAGTCTAACACACTGTGGGTGGGTACTGGTACACCTACTGTGGAATGCACTTTGACAATTCCTCAGACACTAAACAGATAAAAATTTGGTATCTTTTTCACTCAACACACAGGAAGTACTCCATAAAGATTCTGAATAAACGAATGGCATGGCTTTCTTCATATCAGCATTTTTAAATATTTATCATTCACCCTCAAAATTTTTGTGTGTTTTTGTGCCAATCTAGAACTATAACTCAAGGCCTGAGTGCTGATCCTTAGCTTATGTGCTCAGGGCTAGCATTCTACCATCTGAGTCACAGATCCACTTTCAGCATTTGGGGGGTAATTGGAGATGAGAGTCTCACACTTTCCCACCCATGCTGTCTTTGAATCATGATTCTCAAATGTCTGCCTCTTGAGTAGCTAGTAGTAAAACTATGAGCCAACAGCTCCTGGCTAAAAAACTTTAATGTCAAAAAGTATTCAGAGCCGGGTGCCGGTGGCTCATGCCTGTAATCCTAGCTACTCAGGAGACTGAGATCTGAGGATCACGGTTCAAAGCGAGCCTGAGCAGGAAAGTCTGTGAGACTTTTATCTCCAATAAACCACTAGAAAACCGGAAGTGGCATTGTGGCTCAAGTGGTAGAGTGCTCACCTTCAGTTGAAGAGCACAGGGACAGCACCCAAGCCCAGAGTTCAAGCCCCACGACCGACCAAAAAAAAAAAAGTACTCAGCGTGGCATACCTTGGGTTATCTTTTCAGATACTGATACCTTTTCAGAAACTAAATATCATTAGCACACAGATTTCAGATAGGTATAGAGAAGTAATATTGGGATGACTTTTCACTTTGTCTCTACAACACTAAAATGTCCAAGTTAATGACATACTGCATAAGAAACCCAAGTTTTACTAAATCTAAGACCCACAATATCTTTCTAACACAATATTGGACTTGGGTGCCCATGGATAAACTAAAGAAAAAATTGACAAAAGATGAGAAAACCTAATGGGAAATGCTGTCACACCTTTCTAGTGATTGAATTCCACAAAGCAAGAATGACCTTTGAAAGAAAGGATGATTGAAAGATCTGAAGGGAGATAAAAGGGACAGGATATGAGGAGTTACTACAGGTATACATTTTGTTTGAAGTTGACTACAGAAGCTCAGATGGAAAACAGGGTGCAGGGACAGAAGAAATGAACTAGGAATATGATTTTTTATGCTTTAGGTATTGAGAGAAGAGATCAAAGGCTTAATATTGGGAAGGAAATAAATTTAGAAGATACCTATTTAGTTTTAATATTGGGAAGTAAAGGACCAGCATAAAAGGAATAGGGTCAAAGCAGATGCATCCAAGATTAAAGGGGTTTGGAGAGAAGAAGAATTGATCTATTCAGAAGCACTAGATCTACCAGTACCTAGAGTTCCTGCACATAATCCTACCTACTCAGAAGGGTGAGATCTAAGGCTTGCAAGTCAATTATAGCCAGCCTGCCAGCAATAAAGTCTATGAGACTCTTCTCTTCCATTAACCACAAATAAGTAGACATATGACTCAAGTGGTAGAGCACTAGCCTCAACAAAAGAAAAGAAAATGCACAGGAACAGTACCTATGCCCTGAGTTCACACACACACACACACACACACACACACACACACACACACACACACACACACGAAAATCTACTAATAATAAATCTATCTCTAAAGAGTAAAGAATAACTGCATTGCATCAGCCACTTGAACATAAGAACATTCAGGTACCTGTCACACAGAAACTCCTAACAATGTCGCTCAGACAATCTTACAACATTTCTCTAGTCCCGGGCACTGTCCCTCAGCTCTTCAGCTCAAGGCTGCCTCATGCATGTGAGGCAAGCATTCTACCACTGAGGCATCATCCAGCCCTGTGGAATTATGACTGTGACTGCGTAATATGCTTGACAAGAAAGAATAGACATAGGAAAGAATTTTCTAAGACCATTCAGGGAAAAAATTTCCATAAGTGCTTATTACACCTGATAATATCAAGATGTTATCCTCTTTAGAATGCTTTTGGCCAGGCAAGAATGGTTCACACCTGTAATCCTAGCTACTCATGAGACTGAGATCTAAGGAATGTGGTTCTAGGCCATCCCTGGCAGGAAAGCCAAAGAGACCCTTCTCTCCCATTGACCAGAAAAAAAACCAGAAATACCGGTATAGCTCAAGGAGTAGGATGCCAAT